GGACCAGCCGACACCAGATAGATCGGATACATTTATCCCAGTTCTCGGCTGCAGCTACTTGCTGCCCGACCATCACACCAAGGTACCGGCAAGAGTCCCTCCACGCAAGAAGATTTGGCCTTGGGTATCTAGGGGCACGTCTGGACCTAGAGAATTAAGTTCAATCACCGTCGACTTAGCCCGGTTTGTGTGAGGCCCCGAGACGCCGAAGAATTTATCCTGAACCGATACCACGTGTTTTATTTCCCTACGTTCGCGGATGTACACGGCCGTATCGTCGGCATACTTAGACACCTTTATCAATTCTTCCCTGTCACCCGACTAAGTCTTTTCGCCGCTTTTTTTTAATGAGCCTGTATGACTCTGCAAACGCTATCGAGAGCAAGAAAAAAAAAGGAGCGGAGCTAAAGGGGACCCTTGACGAATACCGCAGTGAGTCGCTCTTTTCCTTTAGCGGTAGCCGTAGACGATGAACTGGCAAGTAGTATTGTGATGGATTGCCGCCATTACCGAAACAAACCGCTGTGAAAAGCCGAGCCACTTCAGCACCGACAATAAGAACAGGCGCTGGAGTGTGTCGTAGGCTTCTGCAAAAGCAAGAAGTAGAGCTATCGTCTTAATCTGACGTGGGTTCGATGCAGCTGCTTTTTTGCCGCAGTGAAAACGTCGAGGGCCGCTTGTGTCGACCGCTCTGAGGTACAAAGCCTACTTAGGCGGGGTGAACTTTTTGTGCAAGCAGCGGCCGGACTCGAGAAGAAAAAATCTTGGTGAATATCGTGTAATCACTGTTTAGTAGGGCGATGGGACGATGGTCCAGCGGAAGAGCAGATGCAGCCGACTTCTTCAAACACTAGATGTTTGCTTCTCCGAACGATTAGGGGAAGAGACTGCACGCTAGCCATCTGCTGTAAAGCTTTGCGAGAATAGGCGCAATTTTAATTAGCGTAGTCCCAATAGAAAGTGTAAATCAGTTCATCGGGCCCTGCCGCTTTCCCCCGTTTAAGCTGTTTTAAAGCAGCACAGACGTCGTCTGTAGAGATAGCCATCGTGACTGATGCGTCGTCAAGACTTGTTAAGGAAGAGACTTGCGCTAGAAAGGAAGCAGTGGCTGCGGAGATGTGAAATATCGAAGCAAGATAGATCTTCACCAGTCTTTCATTTCTTCTGCGAGTTCTTGAGAACGCGTGTGCCCGTGTCAAGCTTAACCGCCGAAATCCAAGATCGTGTTGTCTTAAAACTTGGTCGCTACCCTGGCTAAGAAACGGCGGGTTGTCTCGCCGGGGCAGGACGTGTGCTGATCAAGGAGACGCTCGCGCTTAGCTCGCTGCCACATGCGTCGGCACTCTGCAATTCGGCTGCGATTTTGCCGACTAGGAGCTACCGCTGCATACTGGGCGTACGGCTCGGTGATATGCACGTCTAGTAGAGCCTTTGCTGGCTCAGAAAGAAGTGCTTCATTAAGCCTCTCATACAGTCGCCGGAGCCTCTGCTTGTAGCTGCGCGTCATACGCTGTCTTGCAGCTTTGGTTGCAGTCATAAGCGAGATTCGAAGCTGTGTCTTCCAGCAGTCCCACCATTACGCAAGCCGGCGAGCTGTCGTGACCTCCTCGAGATTCCGATGGCGGTTCTTGTCGATATGGTGCCGCACTATATTTAGTGCAGTGAGAATAACCTGTTTCACGTCTGCTTTGGCACACTCTGGTACGGGGTATGCACGACGCGGTCGACTAACTCTGACGGTACAGTGAGGTGCCCCAAGACGGATCACGACACCAATATGGTCTGCGGTAGGCCCTGGAACGGACTTGTGAACATCTCGGACCCAATTAGCATGATGGGAGCTAAATACCATCTGTCCAGACGGGAACTGGCGGCTCCTCTTCCAGGAAGGGTACAGAAGTACGTGTGCGCTGAGGCGTGGAACTCAGGAATTGAACGCTTATCAACCGCCCGTTTGATCTCATCTGCAAGGACGTCACTCACGTTTAATCGTGTGAGGAGTCGTCGTGGAGCAGGGTAATCATGGCGGTCTGCTGGGGTCGCATATGAACGATCGATACGTGGGTGAAGGGTGCAATTAAAATTGCAATCATCACCACCGGACCACCATGCTCTGCAACATTTTGTCGAAGGAACTCAAACAAGTCCTCCCGATCCCCCTTGGCTGTTGGTGCGTTCCAATGATGACTAGGATGGGCTCCTCGCGATAGGTGATCCGCACCGCCATCCAATGGCGAGTCTATAAGACCTCCTTCTAAGTTTCCACTGTCCGGATGGATGAGTTTGGATGAAGAAGGATCGCGACGCCGCCCCGGGGTCCTGTTGCTTCTGTCCAGATCATGCTCCCAGGTTCCTGTACGAAACCCCATGTTTGGTGGTTTAGCTTGTCCAAAGTATCTGCTTTCCCAACAGCGAAATTTGTTTTCTGCAGCAAAACTAAGTCGACGGCCCCTCGGTCTTCTTGCTGTCGAAACTGGTCAAGCCACTCTGCGCACATGATCGGGTGTTTGCGAAACCCAGCAGCGTTCTGTGAATGAAGGCCAATAGTATTTTCTCGCGGGTGTATGCGACGTCGTGCGTATGAGTGGTGGAATTTCTTTGTGTATTGCATCCGATATTTGGATAGCGTGCTCGTGGGGTCGTCTTTTGCCATCCTCCTCTCAGAGAAATGAGTGCATCCACGCGTCGCGCCGCAGATATCCGATCGGCTGCGGTGTCCTCAGTAAAGGAGAGATAACGGTCGATCCTCATGAGCAATGAGATCGACCGCCAGTTTCCGATCAGACGGCTTGGCGAGCACCCCTACAACGGCAGCCTGAACAGCAGCGGAAGTGTAATAGACTGCCGCTTTAGTCTGCAGCACCACGACAAAGGTCTCACACTCGAATGACATCAAACTTGGAAGCAATATACTAAATAAGTTCAAGACTCCCCAGTGGTCGATGTCCGTGACCTGAGCGACCACAGTTGCACACAGCAGATCTGGTTGCAACGTATTAACGCGACGCCAACGTTAATTCAAGTTGGTAGTCCGCCATCGAATTTTCCCCTTCTGACCATCCGCCGTTGCAGCCCATCCCTTGCATAGTTCACGATGGCGCTCATCGTGGTGGTTGGCATGTTGTCGAATGACCGCTACTTGAGAGACCCTATTGATAGCATGACCAAAGTTCCAAAGCGATTCATCATTCATGTCTGCTAGAAATGTCACCGGAATGGGGAGCGCGAACACCAGAGTCGCGAGCTCGGATATACAATGGGTAATCCAATCATTCTGGCCTGGTGAGCTTAACGGTGACAAACAAGGTAACAAGGCAACCAGTCGACGGGGGGCTACCCAGGATTTGAGCTTAGTCGCGTTCGCTTGAATCTGTTTTGAGCGCTCCGAGACTGCTGTCGCAATTGCTTCATCTGAAACCGTGCCAGAAAGTTTTCGGTTCCGTGTAGCTCTGAAAGTTTGTGCATGGTCAACTGGATTCCGTATGTTGCCTTTTGCCGAATGGACCGCTAAAGTGGTGACCACTGGGACTTTACGCGTAAAGTCGGTATATTTGGCGCTCTTACAATCATTGTGAGAGGTATTATCGATATCGGTTTCCGACAGCTTAATATTTGCAGCGTGGCCTGGGCGAGAGCTGCGGGAGTAGGTACGCTAGATGCACATTGAGGAGGAGTGACGTCCCCCCATTTGGATTATCCAAAAGCATCGTATTTTATAACGTGACGCCACTTCCCATCATGGTTACGACCAGATTCTGCGGGATTAAGGAAACCCGGTCTAGCTGAGACTCGGTCTCCGCAGGTGAACATACGTGTGAAGGAGGCGTGGAGGCGGTCGTCACTGTTGATGGGGACGGACCGCTTCTTTCTGTTCTTCTGCCCTTGCGGCGGACATACGACGACACAAGTCAGTGGATTGTAGCGCGGCTGTACTCCCGTATAAAAGCCGCCATTTTCGCTGGTGTCTCCTCCGGCGTGGAAACGGTGACGAATGAAGGTGTCGACTTAGCTAATGTAACATTTGCAAGTCGCCGTTTCTTGGTTTTCAGTCACTCTTTGCAGTAGAAATCACTGCCTCTGCGTGCGAAACTGTGGCGGTAGCAATTCGATAGTCGTATTCCAATCCGGGCAGCTCTGTGCCGTCCATGTCGGCCAGTGGATCTTCCCCAGCATGGATAGTTTCTTGTGCAATTGTCGATTCCAACACCCTCCCATGAGTCTTAAAGTACTTCGCCTTTGTATCATATGCAATTCGAAGTTCTTACTTCGCTGACGCCTGCAACGCGATTACGCGCAACTTTGCTTTATTAACTTCATCCTGAGCGACGGCTCAAGCTGTATCACCTGTGGGGCTTGTTTTGACCGCGCCTGAGGAAACGGTCCTAGCAGTGGGTGTAACGGGGCACATTTTGTTTGGGGTGCCGCGAAATTTCACGTACACTAGTACGTGCAGAGGAAGCTAAACTACTTGAAGGACTCGTTTAAGTAAAGGTGAAAAGAAAACTGTATTTCATATAGTTAAGCTATCAATATTACTTAAATCTATATCTAACTCTATTAATCTACATTTCTTATGACGACAACCTGCTCACCACTCATAATGCGCGTCTAGCAGCGACTAGTGGCAATCTATGGTTGATATGTCTTAAATCAACCAATCTTTAATCTGCGCATAATTATTATCTAAAGGGGTGATATTCCTTCAATTTTATCCACCTCGGATAATGTTGGTAGAATATTGTCATGCTAAACAATATTCCTTTTCACACCGTTTGGTGTCAATTTCATGTAACGGGTTACCCCGCTACATCACCCCCCCCCTAAACCATCAATCACCCGTTAATTGAATTAGAATTGATTGGGACAGGGTGACCACCGTTGGATCACCCTGGAAAAGGTAGCACTTGTTGGTCAAATTCCATTCATTTGCCAATCCAACGCATGGATTTCGAAACCCACGCGAGCTGCTACTGCAGCAGCAGAAAAGAGCTGATGCACGCATGCGTGCGGCCGCGGATAGTGCCTCTCACGCCTCAGCAGCAGGCGATTTGTCGCCTTTTGTCGTGAATTTTCCGCGTGGTGAGTCACCACGTGCGACAGATACATATGTTGCGTCTGCAGCGGGTACCTCGAATCGTAATCCAGACGAGTCTGAGATAGAGTTCACCTACTCTGGCGAGTCGGATGATGCATCCGACTCGAAGGCGACTCCTCACGCTTCGAGATCACCCGGGGCGGACGCTGCAAAAGCCAGACTGACTGGCTCTGGTCAGCGCGGCAGCATCATGACCGAGATGTTTGGATCGAGTGATTATTTCGATGAGTCTCCGCCTCACGCAAGTCCATCCATCGATAGGATGCGTGGAGATGGTGGTGATGCACCTATGCATCACCACGAGCGAAGTAACTCAAGGTATCGGGGTAACACTGGTGCCAGTGCTCATGCTAGCAATCAAGAGGCCAGAGGCCAGGGACCGAAATGTCCTGCGCCACGCTCCTCAAGTGGAGTCTCGTTGGATGACGTCCTCCAAGGAGTTGGAACGGTTGGCCGACATGACTACCGAACGGGATCGAATCCCGTTGTTCGATTGCAGGAAGATTTTTCCACCTGATTCCAGCACGGAAACTATCCGTGCTGAGTAAGAGTTCTTCACCGATGCGTTCTTCAAACATCAATGGTGTAATGGCAGCCGTGTTTGAGACGGCAAGGCTTTGGTGCAAGGATGGAATGCCCTCATCCACAACATCAAGTGCATTGGCCGTGAGGCCTGGCTTGGTAAACTTGATGCAGCTCGCATCAGGTTTGAGAAACGCAACTCCGTCGGGGCGCGATAAAAGTTGCACCGGCTTTCAAGAAAGGCAGGATTACCCTGTCTATCATGGGGCGATTCGTGTCCAGGTTGCCTGGACAACTCGAACCGTGCCCCTAGGGAGGCCTACCCTTCTATCGATCCCTACTGGAGGGCGCACATCTCTTCCGAGATGGCTGAAGGGATCGGCACTGTGCAATGTTTGTACTCGCGTTCGGGGAGGTCGTTTTTCGACGTCCCTTCTTCAAACGCAGCGGGTGGGTCTCGTCGTACTGCTCGACGAGACCAAGGACATCCACAATCAGCTGGGCACTAGGCTATCAGCTGTCCCACGCCGGTGGATTGCCACGCCAGCAGACGAGGTAACTCGTCCGGACGCCATACACATCGCGTTGGCTCAAAATACGCTCCACTGGGAAGCGTTGACAACCGCCGGAGTCCACCAAAGGATGTGGTGGCGGCGGGAACACCTGATCCGGCTCGAGGGTCGGATAAGCTTGTTGTTCAAGAGCTAACTTGTGAAACGGAACAGTTTCAAGATGACCTGGCTCGTGAACGGACTCGGCATGATGGGCATGATGATTTTGTAAGGGATAATTGCAATTTCCTAACGCACGACGTTCGGATGATCGTGCCGCTTTTGCGTTCGCGCAACTTGAGAACGAACGTTCGACTCGTTCTCTTCGTGATGAGCTGGATGCTGCTCGTCGAGACATCGCTGGGCTGCGTGAACAGGTCGCTTCGCTCTTCGACCAGACTGGCTTGTTGAAACGGGAACACTCGAAGGTGGTCTCGGCTCTTGACCGCGGGTGTGTTCTTCGCATCTCCAAACGAACTCGTACTGATGGTACGGGCGGAGACGACCAACGTAAAACGTAGGATGCGTGCGCATCTTACGGGGCAGTTCATCCGTGTATGCGTTGGCCTTTCGGCGCAACACACGAAATGGACCGATGTACCTGGGCATTAATTTACTGCTGCCCACGTTTGTCACTGCGTGCTTCGGTAAGTTTACTGTGGACAGTAAAACTAGTTCTCCTTCATTAAATCAAAGAACATTTGCTTTTCCATGTTTGTCTGCATTTCTTTTCTGTCCGTCTAATGCATCTACAATAGAATCTTGACCGAAGCGGACAACCGCTTCGCGAGTCGGCAGAAATTCCTCTGCTGATTCATCCTTGTCAACAGCAGTGCGCTTCGTGTGCACTGCTGAAAGAACGTTGTCTTCACCAGTGAGGGTATCATCGTCCTCACTTTGGCGGTCATTGGCGATGCTGAATATACCGACATCATCGTCATCGACATCATCGACATCGATCCCATCGACCATCGATCCCATCGACATCGGCTTCCATCACGTCGACACCATTGTCGACGGATGATGAGCAATAACCGATTCGGTTTTTGTTCGAGCGAGTCCACCCCCCCTTAAACTAGAGTCAAACTCTAAGAAAGCGGGCAAACGTGGATGGCGCAGGCCATTAAAGAATGGTGTATGCGAAGTTGACGCGTGCACCGAGTTGTTAATAGCGAATTCCGCCATCGGCAAGAACTCACTCCAACTCGTAAACGAGTGGACATACCCTCAAAATATCTCTTCGAGAACGCGGTTGACGTGTTCTGTTTGACCATACGTTTCAGGATGGTCAGAAGCTGACATCTTCAAACGTGCTCCAAGTGAACGGAACACGGATTGCCAGAACTTCGCTGTGAAGCGGGGTCTCGATCAGACTCGAGCTCGCGGAGAAACCCGTCAAGTCGGAAGATAGTATCGATGTAGACATGCGCACAGCCCTGGGCTGTAATTGACTCCGGTAAAGCAACAAGATGTACCATCGTGCTGAATCGTTTAACAGACACAAAAATACCCGTATTCTAGTGAGCGTCTTTGGGAAACTCGAAGACGAAGTCCATCGATACGGACTGCCAACACTCTGCCGGAATTGGAAGAGGATGCAAGGGTGCGCGGGATGAAGGACTAGGATTCCCCGTTAACAAACTTCGCAAGCGTGAATGCATTTGCGCACAAAATCATACTGGTGGGGCCAGTAGAAGTAACGACTCACCATGATGTTAACCTTTTCTCTATCGCGATGTCCACTTGTTGGGGCATCGTGACACTCATACATGATGCGCAGTCGCAAATTATTATGACCCGGAACGACGACACGAGGTGTGTGGCCGTTGACTGCTGTATAGTACAGCAGTCCGCCACGAACAGAATACCGTTCGGTTAAAGAGCGGTATTGAGACGACAAGCTTTTTAAAGCTTGGTTACACGGATTGGATACGTAATCCATCAATCGCAGAAGAGACTCATCTTCGCGCATGCTTTTCGCACATCATCGAGAAGATTCGACGACGGAACACTCACTGTTAGTGTCGCGACAGTAGGATCACCCCTACTGATGGGTTGCGCGGTCGGCTCAAAATCGGGCCGACGCGAAAGAGCATTAGCGACGACATTAAGTCGTCATAATTTATACTCGACGGAGAAGTTGTACTCCGCGAAGAAAGACAGCCACCTCGCCATTCGTTGCGAGAAATGTGTGGACTATTTACGGTTAGGAGTATTGACGCATGGTCAATATAAACCATGAAAGGCCTATCTCCTAAGAGATATACCCGAAACTTAGCCAGTGCATATTTCATGGCGAGACGTTCCTTGTTATGCACCGGGTAATTACGCTCAGCTGCTTGCAGCTGACGCGATTGATATGAGACGACGCGTTAAACGCCGTCTGAGTCGTACTGCATTAACGCGCAGCCGATTGCAAAATCACTGGCGTCACAGACCACATGAAAAGGCCTAGCCTGATCTGCAATCGCCAACACAGGCGATCGCACCAAGCCTTTCTTGATGCCTTCAAAGGCGTGATGACACTTAGCGCTCCATCACCACCTCTCGTTTTTCTTTAACAGACGAGAGATATGTACAGTCACCTCGGCATAGTTGCGCGAGTATTTGTGCAAATACGCTGCCAAGCCAAGTAATTTTAGAAGTCCCTTGACGTCGACTGGCACAGGCCAGTCGCAAATCGACTTGTTCTTTCCGGATCAGGTCGTTCACCGTTTTTACCCACAATGCAGCCAAGAAGGGGAATTTCGTTCGCTGCGAGTACACACTTCTTGAGGTTCGCGAACAATTTTTGCTCTCGCACTAGAGTAAGAACCTTCCGGACGTGGATTCTACGAACATCCACGTCCGTCTTTCCATCCATAGCCCGGCTATGGACGAAGACATCGCCGAAGTAACTCGGCGCGAAATCGCGCACCGATCGCAACAGGTTCGTTACACATCTTTTAAACGTTGCGGGAGCGTATCTAAGCCCCTGCGGCATCACTCGCCACTCCCAGAGCATACCACTGGGTGTGCTCACTACTGTGTAAGGGATATCCCCTTCACGCATGAGGATCTGACAGAATCCATCCATCATATCCATGGACGAAGAGATGGTCACTTTGACACACCGTCTATGATGACGTCCTTCGTTGGTTTCGGCGTTTGAGGCGGTACCGTTGCAGCTTTCGGTTTGTAAAATGCGTGCACTATCCGCCACCCTCCTGTTGCCTTCGAGCACAGAAGGTCGTAGAGCTGTATGAGGATGTTGATTCCCTCACATGGCCCGCAGCTAAACGATCGGCAAAGAATTTATCGATCGCTGTGACCTGTTTCTGAGGCTGTGGCCACTGTTTCATGACACAGTACTTCGAACCGGGTTTCAGTTCGATCTCGTGCCGAGTGCCTTTGTCCTTGGGCAGCTCGCATGACACGGATTCCAGGAAACATCCTTAAAATTCAACCAGATTCTTGTACAAAGGATTTGTCTTCAAAGACTCCCAAGATTGAGACGTGTTTCGCTCAATCCGGGTCTTCTCATCGAGGACACTCTCAGCCATTGATGAGCTACTGAGAACCCGTTCGTTCTCAGCAAACACTTGTGCCGACCGAATATCGGCGACGTGCTTGTCCTCTGTGACGAGTACGCAGATCTTCTTGATCTTGTCAATACGCAGATCTTGCAAGAATCTTTTTGATTCTAGCGTTGGCAACTTGACCACCTCCGAAGATGACTTCGGGGGCTTCACCAAATCAAGTGTATAAGCGCCTACACTCGATCCGTCATTCACCAAGACATTCACTGTCTCGGTGAGTTCCTGGGAATCCCATCCGCAGGTGGTTGAGGATCCACACCCTCAACAAAAATCTCTCGGGATTTTTTGCTTTCAGGAACGTTGGATTTTTCTTCCGTTACGGGTACTATCACGGTCACGTCATCTTCGATCGACTCTCTTTCAGGTCGATCGTGCTTGCTCTTCGATCGACTCTCTGATAGTCGATATCGCTTCAACGTGTTTTCCATCCTGAACAACACTAATCTCTATTCTGTGATGCACCCTTCTTGGTGTACATCCGCGTTCCACTCCACTCGATCTCTTCGAGTGGTGAACCTTCGGCGCAGCCTGTGTCTCTACACAGGTGCCGGAAGCTAATTCCACAGTGAAGTGGCCTTCTACACTGTGATCTTGTGCAATCTTACTAACGACCGTACCACAAGTGAGGCCATCGCACTAACTCGTAGTACATCCACACGATTGTGGACGCGCAAAGACGTTTATCAGATTGCTATCTGATGAACAAACGGCAGGCATCATCACGGATCGATGCTGCCAACTGATCCATGGCTGGTACTTTCAAAGCCATGGAAGACCAAGGATGACATCAAATTTGCCATGCAAATACAGTACGATGAAGTCATCATTGTGTTGTTTTCCTTCTAGCGTGTAGTGGATTCCCACTACACGTTTGTTCACTGTTATGGATGCGCCTGTAGCGAGGCACACCGTCATCCTCGTTGGAGTGAACTCTCGCTCAACATAGTTGTGCCTACAATCCTCTAGCGACTGGCGTCGAATGAAACTGTTCGACGCACCACAGTCAACTAAGGCGCGAAGTGACATTCCACTTGTCACTTCGATCTTCCAAGTGATGAGAGACTCCTCATCACTAAGTACAAAAACACACAGAGACTGCGTGTCGGGATCAACCTTCGTCAAGAGTCCTGCAAATTCTCTTGACGTTGCTGGATCAGCAGGGTGCTCCGCTCCTACTGACCCTGTCCATTTTTTGGCGGTACGACTAGCTGTCGCGGCTTAGCGAAATGTTCGGACCCACGCCTTGGACCCTTCCTTGGCCAACGGCGGTCATCACGTCCTGTCTTTGGACGTGATGCGGTGCTTGGGACACTACACACATGAGCGTAGTGTCCAATCTTCTGATAGCAATGGCATCTTTCCGTTCGCTTGTGACTCAGAGAGCGAGAGTTCTCTCTCCCTCGATGCAACAGAGGTTCATTGGTTCGGGATCTCCTGTTTCCTGTCGTCTCGTCGGACGATAGCTTTAGGAGTTAGCCTGAGACTGTCTCAGTCTGAAGTCTTCTTGTTACTCATACGCTATCGCCATTTTCAGCGTACGGAAATCCTCTCGGAACACGTAGGCTTTCACCGGCCCACCCACAAGGTCATAGATGAACACGTCGATAAGCGTATGCTCATCTACAGGGTTCTTCGTAACGCTATTTGCAAGGTAGCGCAGGTGCTGTGCATAAGCGTGCACGTCACGCTTACCTTGCTTTAGCCTCAAGAGTGCAGAGCGTGCTCTGGACTCGGCTCTCGGCGGCTCGAACGACTCTTTGAGCCGAGACTCCAAGATCTCCAACGACTCAAACACGTTTAGGTCGTGAAGCTTAACCGTGAAGGCTCAAGTCTTTGCTCGTCCCGTCAAATTTGACAGGGCCAGGGTGACTTGCATCTCATCACCCTCGATGCGACGGGCCCTGATGGCATCGTCTAACTCGACGAACCATCTCAAAATGGAATATTCATCAATTTTTGTACCTTGAGACATCAATCTTCAAGGTTTTAGATCGACGCATGTGCGTCGGTCCGCCCATCGACTGATGAGAGACTAGCTGTTGTAGCAAGGCTATCTCCCGTCTTTCGACGGCAAGTTCCAATTGTAAGAACTTGTTGATAGCAGCATGTTGCTGGTCTCTGCTTAGAGACTCCAACATACCACTGATGGCGGGTTCGCCCATATACACAATCATGCGGCCGACTACCTCCCACTCTGAGTCACTCAGATGGGAGTAGCCTTCACGTGTGACGTGAAAGCTGTCTTCTTCTACGTCCAACATGTTCATGTTGGACCGACACAAAGTAGTCGTCGGACGGCCTACAAAGCGCTACTAGGTGTAACGGGCACCCTTTGTTTGGGGTGCCGCGAAACTTCACGTACACTAGTACGTGCAGAGGAAGCTAAACTGCTTGAACGACTCGGTCAGGTAAAGGTGAAAAGAGAACTATGTTTCAAATAGTTAAGCTATCAAAAAACTTTAATCTTTACCTAAGCACATTTGTAACGGGGTGAATCGTTACATAAGAATTTATAAAATTGTTAATAGAATATAACTATAAGAGTTATATTCTCAGAATATTGTCACAAGGGCGAACATTCTGTAGCACTTACGAGTAGTTTCTAATTGGTTGATATATGCCATTATATTAACCAACGAAGACGCGCCACGACAGACGCACGCAATGAGTGGTGAGCAGATAGTTGATATACACATTTGTATTCAGACATAGTTAGATGAGGATAAATAGTGATTTATTGCAGACATTTACTATGATAAATACAGTTCTGCTTTTTACTTTAACCAAGTACTCGCTTCTTCTTACCGTCTTCCTCTGCACGTACGAGTGTACGTGAAGTTACGAGGCACCGCCTAATTATGTCATCAGAATAAGTAGCTTGTACTGTCATCAGTACAAGCTTCAGGGTGCCCCATTACACCTGGTAGCACTTCGTAGTCCGTCCAAGGACCACGTCACATCTGACATGAATATGCTGGATGATGAAGATGACCAAAGCTTTCACGCTATGCGTGCCGGCTAATCCCATTTGAGCGATGTAGAATGGGATGCGGTTGAACGGATGGGTTCAACCATGGGCATCCATGCTGTTAGCGTCATGCTAGAAGCTCTCAATAGAGATGCCCAACATGCTACTATCGCCAAGTTCATTCAAAGTGAACTTGACGCCGAACGCGAGAAAGTAGCCTAGCTTCACCAACAAGGTTCTCAACAATCAGAGTTGTTGAGAGAACAAGGTGCTCAACAGTTTGAACTGTTGAGACAGCAGCAGGCTGCTGCTGGTAGGTCGATGCACTCGCGTCGACCCGAAACCTTGAAGATTGACATCTCCAAGTATACGGGAGTCGAATAGGACTCCCTCTTGAGATGGTTCGTCGAATTGGATGACGCCATAAGGGCGCGTCGCATCGACGACGGGGATATGCAAGTTGCATTTGCCCAGTCAAATCTGGCAGGACGTGCCAAGACTTGGGTTTTGGGGCTCAAGTTGCACAACCCATATGCGTTTGGGTCGTTGGAAGTCTTCAAGTCGCGGCTCAGACAAACGTTTGAACCGCCTAGAGCTGAGTTCAGAGCTCGAACCGAACTCTTGAAGCTCAAACAGGGTAAGCGTGATGTGCACGCTTACGCGCAACATACACGACATCTTACGAGTTGTATAAGTTCCAATCCGGTGGATGAACACACGTTGGTTTCGGTGTTCATGAAGGGTCTTGCGGATGGTCCCGTCGAGACTCACCTGTTCCGACTTGAACTAGATTCACTAGAACAAGCCATTTCCATTGCGGAACAGGAAGACTTCAGTCTGAGACAGGCTCGCGCCAGCTCGACATCATATCGTCAAGCGAGACGATATGACAGCGGAGGTCCAGAGCCGATGGAACTATGTTATGTAGAGAGCGAGAAGGCTCGCTCTACAGACTACAAGAAGTTGCAGAAATGCAACAGATGTCAAAAGACAGGACACTACGCTTACGAGTGTAGTGCCCCTCGTCCAGTGTCTCGCAACACTGGGTGTAATGACCGTCCGCCCATGAGAAAGGGGCAGGGACGAGGGTCCGTTGTTGGTGCAAAGACGCAACAACGGGATGGACCGTAAAAAAACGGACAGGATCAGTAGGTGCGGAGCACCCTACTGGTCCAGCAACGTCAAGAGAATTTGTAGGCCTCTTGATGAAGGTTGCTCCCAACACACAAACGTTGTGCGTTGCTGCTCTAGGTAATGAGGTCTCACTCATTACCTTGAAACTCGAAGTGACGAGTAAGTTGTCCCTTCGAGCTCTAGTCGATTGTGGGGCGTCCAACAATTTTGTGCGACGCCAATCGCTAGAAGATGGTCATTTTAAGTTCAGTGAATGTGACACACAGCCTACGAGGATGATGGTACGTCTTGCGACAGGCGCATCCGTAACCGTCATGAAGCGTATAGTGAAGATCCACTATACGCTAGAAGATACCCAATATGATGATGACTTTATCGTTTTGGATTTGAATGACAAATTTGATGTCATCCTTGGAATACCGTGGCTCAGAAGGTACGAAGCACGGGTAAACTGGCAACATCAAACAGTAACGATGCCTGCCGCTTGTTCATCAGATGGCCATCTGATGAGCGTTTTGGAGCGTCCACAAGCGTCTGGATGTACTACGAGTGAGTGCGATGTCCTCACTTGTGGTACGGTCGTTAGTACGACTGCACAAAACCTTAGTGTACCAAACGGTTACACTTCGGAGCAAATTTCCGGCGGCTGTGAGGAAACACAGGCTGCGCCGAAGGTCCACCACTCGAATAAGTCGAGTGGACCGGGACAAAGATGTATCCCTAGCGGGGAACATCTAGAAGAGAAACAATCGATCGCTCAGGTTAAGCGAAACGATAATCCTAGATCGACTGGAGAGTCTTTCGTAGAGGATCTCGCTGTGGCTGCGCAACCCCAGCTAGAGGAAGTAAAGGAAATAAGTCCCAAGATTACAAATACGGCGGAAATAAGTTCCCCGAAACCCGCGGGAATAAGTCCCCGGGAAGCCGAAGGAATAAGTCCCCAGGAAATGACAGAGACATTGAATGTCATAGTCAATAACGGATCAAGTGTAGGCGCTTATACACTTGATCTGATTGCGCCTCCGAAGTTGACTTCGGAGATCACTCAGTTGCCAACGCTCGAACATAAAAGGTTCGAGCGTGATCTGCGTAGTGGCAAAGTCAAGCAGATCTGCATACTCGTCGCTGACGACGAGTGTGTAACCGACATAAGGTCAGCAACAGTGTTTACTGAGAACGAGAGAGTTCTCAGTAGTTCATCTATGGACGAGAGCGTCCTCGATGAAAAGACACGAGTTGAGCGATATGACTCCCAATCATGGGAATCGCTCAAGAAAAATCCTCTCTATGAAGATTTGGTTGAATTCAAGGATGTGTTCCCTGAAACTGTTCCGTGCGAATTACCGAAGGATAAAGGTACTCGACACGAGGTCGAGCTTAAACCTGGTTCGAAGTACTGTGTCATGAAGCAGTGACCTCTGCCTCGTGAACAAGTACTTGCGATCGACAAGTTCTTTGCCGATCGTTTAGCTGCGGGCCATGTGAGGGAATCAACTTCCCCACATAGCTCTCCGACCTTCTGTGTGCGAAAAGCAACAGGAGGGTGGCGGATAGTGCATGCATTTAACAAGTTGAATGCTGCAACGGTACCGGCTCAGACGCCGATACCAAGGAAGGACGTAATCATTGATGGTCTGTCAAAGAGTACCATCTTTTCGTCCATGGATTTGATGGATGGCTTCTATCAAATCCTTATGCAAGAACGGGATATACCCTATACCGCAGTTAGCACGCCTAGCGGCATGCTCTGGGAATGGCCAGTAATGCCACAAGGGCTTAGTAATGCCCCTGCCACGTTCAACAGATGTGTATCACATCTGTTGAGACCAGTACGAGAATTCGCGCCGAGTTATTTTGATGACGTTTTCATCCATAGTCGGGCTATGGATGGAAAGTCGGACGTTGAGGTTCACAGATACCACGTCCGACAGGTTCTTACAATCATGCGAAAGCATCAAATGTACGCAAACCTCAAGAAGTGTATACTTGCAGCAAGCGAAATACCACTTCTTGGGTGCATCGTTGGTAAGGACGGAGTACGTCCTGATCCCGAAAAGATCAAGGCGATCACCGACTGACCTGTGCCGGTCGATGTCAAAGGTCTTCGAAAATTCCTTGGGATAGCGGCGTATTTGCAAAAGTATTCACGCAATACGCCGAAATGACTGTGCACCTCTCTCGTTTGTTGAAAAAGAATGAGAGGTGGTTATGGAACGCTGAATGTCAGTGCTCCTTTGATGTTATCAAGCAGAGCTTGATACAATCCCCAGTCCTAGCAATTGCCGATCAGGACAGGCCATTTCATGTGGTCTGTGATGCCAGCGATTTTGCAATCGGCTGTGCATAAATGCAGTACGATCTTGAAGGCGCTGAACGCGTCGTCTGCTATCAGTCGCGTCAGCTGCAACCAGCTGAGCGGAACTATCCAGTGCATGACAAGGAACTCCTTGCCATGAAGTATGCACTCGCGAAATTTAGAGTCTATTTATAAGGAGATAGACCCTTCATTGTTTACACTGACCATGCGTCATTACGCACGGCAGTGAACAGCCCGCACCTTTCACAACGAATGGCGCGGTGGTTGTCATTCTTTGCAGAAATCAACTTTACGGTCGAGTACAAACCAGGACGGCTTAATGTCGTCGCTGATGCACTCTCACGTCGTCCCGACTTTGAACCAGTCGTGAAACCCAACAGTGAGACAGCCACTGTTGCGGTTATGACGTCCTCAGTCCCATCTACACTGTTGCATGATGGTGTAAGGCTGGCTTTCGCCCAAGATGATGAGATTGTGAAGTTGTTGACACATCTCTCACAGCCATCTCGAGAATCGGTGAAACGACTGTCGTCTGCGTTATGATCTGCATCAGATCGATTCACTAATCGAAACGGGTTTACTGTATTATGCAGCCGTTTCTGGTGACACACCACGTGTTGTCATTCCAGATGATACTGATCTGCGTTTGCGAATCATGTTCGAGTATCACGATGCTCCTATAGGAGGACATCGTGGCCGAGAGAAAACATATCTCACGGTGAGTCGAGACTTTTACTGGCCCCGCCAGTATCAGTTTGTGCGAAAGTATGTTCGCGCATGCGAAGTCTGTCAGCGAGTGAAGTCAAGTCCTTCACTGCGTGCACCTTTCCAGCCTCTACCGGTTCCGGCTGAGTGCTGAGAATCCATCTCAATGGATTTCGTCTTCGGGTTACCCGAAGACGCACGCGGGAATACGGGTATTCTCGTATTTGTTGACAGACTCAGCAAAATGGTACACCTAGTGGCTGTACCAGAGACAATCACGGCAAGTGGCCGTGCTTGTGTCTTTATCGACACCATCTTTCGACTTCATGGGTTGCCCCGTGAACTCGTATCAGACAGAGATCCACGATTCACTGCTGATTTCTGGCGCTCCGTGTTCAAATTACTCGGAACGCGCTTGAAGATGTCAACATCTGATCATCCAGAGTCAGATGGTCAGACGGAACGTGCCAATCGTGTCCTTGAAGAGATACTTCGAGGATACGTACACTCCTTTAAGAGTTGGAGTGAGTTTTTGCCAATGGTAGAGTTTGCCATTAACAACTCGGTGCATGCGTCCACGACACATACACCGTTTTACGTGAATGGATTGCTTCAACCGGGTGTACCGACCTTACTAGAGTGTAATTCTAGTTTAAGGGGGGGAGAGACTCGCGCGAGAAAAAACCGATTTGGTTCACGCTCATCACCATCTGACAAAGAGGACATTGTGTTTGATGCCGATATCGATAACATCGATATCGAAGAAGATGATGCCAGTGAGAGTGCGGAAGCCCTCACTGAAGAAGATGATCCCAGTGAGAGTGCGGAAGCCCTCACTGAAGAAAAGGTTGATGTTGCTGCAGTGTGCTCACAGCACACTGAAGCTAACGAGTCATCAGATGAGTTCATACTGGCTCGTGAAACGGTAGTCCGTTTTGTGCAAGACTCCATCGCCGAACCGGTGGATAAGCAAAAGCAAAACGCTGACAAGAATGGAAAGGCAAACACTCTTTTATTTAACAAAGGTGACTTAGTCCTACTGTCTACGGTTAATCTACCAAAGCATGTAGTGACTAACTTGGGTAGCAGTAAACTACTACCCAAGTACATTGGCCCATTTCGTGTATTGCACCGCCTAGGCAATGCATACACGATCGAGTTGCCACGTAAGATGCGAACGCATCCCACGTTTTACGTTGGTCGGCTTAAGCCGTACCATCAGTACGCTGCTTCTTCCGATGAAGAACGCCCTTGCGCTCAAGCATCTCGCAGAGAGCCTTGTGCTCCCGATGGTGGGAATCGACAAGGGTCTGAAGAGCAGTTATATCAGCCCGAGACCGATCAACAATCCCACGAGCTACCCTTAGCTCGTCACGAAGAGATGTCAGAGCTCTCTCGTTCTCAGGCTGAGCAAAAAAAAACTCAGCTCGATGCTTCAAGACAGTGTCCGCCATTTGGAGACGCCTATTCCGCTCATGCTCGAGATCGTTGCGTAACCCTTGCGTTACGCGGTCAAAGAAGCCCTCGGGAACACACGCTTCCCCACGATTATGTGGAGAGCGTCTTTCCTCCTCCTCCACCTCCATTTTAGGACTCTCGCGGTGGCCAGCGCTATCTAGTTAAGCAGCTGTTGAACCACCGCGACGTGAACGGACGTCGGACGAGTTATCTCGTCCGGTGGCGCGGCTATCCCCCGTCCTGGGATTCTTGGGAGCCCCGCTCCCAGCTGATGGTTGACGTACTGGGTCTGGTTGAGCAGTACGACGCGGCACATCCTGTGCTGCAGAAGGACCGCCGGAGAAAGTCTTCCCGGCACGGTCGTAAAGGGATTTCAGGTTGTCAATCCCTTCGCACATCTCAGTAGAGATACGTACGCGCCACCACGGGCTAGTAATGAGGTAAGCCTCATAAGGTGCGCGCGCAGAGTTGTTCACACAACATGGGCACGGGTCTCCCCAAGAGAGGCAGGGTAATCCTTTCTCCCTTGACAGACGATGCAGCTTGTAGCGTGCACCTGTCGGGGTTCGCTTTTCAAACTTATCACGAGCTTTGATAAGTTTGTCGTTTCAAACGTCACGACCTACATCCTCGAGGTTGGGGATGTAAGCGTTCCACGCCTGAAGTAGTGAGGGACCATCACGTTTGTGATTCCCACTGTACCATCGATGTCTGAAGAAAGCATCGATGAAGAATTCGTGTTCAGCGCGATAGTTTTTCGCGCTGGGGTCAAGGTGATGGATCCTTGACGAATCGAACAACCGTGTTCGATAACGATCACTCGTCGTCGCCGACAAGTGATCCATCACTGACTTAGGAGGCATCCATGCCTTCTTTTCTGGAGCGAGACGCAACACATTGCGGTCCCGCTCTTCCTGCGACGTGCCGACAGAAGTACTGGCACCTCGCTGTGAAGTGGTGTCCATTGGAGAACCGACACCACTGTTAGCGCCCGAGTCTCGCGACCTCGAGCGCCTTCGCTTCGGCGATGGTTCATCTGATTCATCAGATGAACCAAAGATGCTACGACGCAAAGCATCATCCATGCCACGCTTGGCAGGCGGCTTGGATTCGATCGCCGTCGATACGGATCCGTCTTCCGTATCAGGAGAGTATGAGACTCCGAGCTCATACTCTGTGAAGACATGAGTGTCTTCATGACCAGCGCCTGCATCCCCAAGTGACACAGGCTGAGTCGCTTCAGCAACCATTACACATCGGTTGCAGTGGTTTCTGCTTCGGCGTCTGCACAGAGACGTGCAGACGCGCTCTCGGCGGCCTTGCTCACGCATCGCGTGGGCTTGTTAACCATGCGATGAAATGTTGGAAAGTGGACTCGGACCAACAAGTGCAAAGCCCGTCTAAGATGATTTGGGACGAGTATCCATTTAGTCAATCAGTCACTTAAGTGACTGATGGTTAAGGGGGGGGTGATGTAACGGGGTGAACTGTTACATGACAATTTATTAGAAATTGTAAATAGAATATAACCATAAGAGTTATATTCTCAGAATATTGTCACAAGGGCGAACATTCTGTAGCACTTACGAGTAGTTTCTAATTGGTTGATATATGCCATTATATTAACCAACGAAGACGCGCCACGACACACGCACGCAATGACTGGTGAGCAGATAGTTGGTATATACACATTTGTATTCAGACATAGTTAGATGAGGATAAACAGTGGTTTATTAACAGACATTAACTATCATAAATGCAGTTCTACTTTTTACTTTAATCAAGTACTCGCTTCTCCTTACCGTCTTCCTCTGCACGTACGAGTGTACGTGAAGTCCCGAGGCACCGCCTTTTTCTGTCATCAGAATAAGGCGGTGCCTCGTCATCAGAATAAGGCGGTGCCTCGTAACTTCACGTACACTCGTACGTGCAGAGGAAGACGGTAAGAAGAAGCGAGTACTCGGTTAGAGTAAAAAGTAGAACTGTATTTATAATAGTTAATGTCTGCAATAAATCACTATTTATCTTCATCTAACTATGTCTAGATACAAATGTGTAAATCAGTTATCTGCTCACCAATCATTGCGTGCGTCTGTCGTGGCGCGTCTTCGTTGGTTGATATAATGGCCTATATCAACCAATTAGGAACTACTCGTAAGTGCAACAGAATATTTGTCCTTATGACAATATTCTGAGAATATAACTCTTATAGTTATATTCTGTAAACAATTTCTTATAAATTGTTATGTAACGATTCACCCCGTTACATCACCCCCCCCCTTAACCATCAGTCACTTTAGTGACTGATTGACTAAATGGATACTCGTCCCAAATCATTTGGGACAGGGTTTGCACTTGTTGGTCCGCGTCCACTTTCCAACATCTCATCGCATGGTTAACATGCCCATGCGATGCGCGAGCAAGGCCGCCGAGAGCGCGTCTGCACGTCTCTGTGCAGACGCCGAAGCAGAAACCACTGCAACCGATGTGTAATGGTTGCTGAAGCGACTCAGCCTGTGTCACTTGGGGATGCAGGCGCTGGTCATGAAGACACTCATGTCTTCACAGAGTATGAGCTCGGAGTCTCATACTCTCCTGATACGGAAGACGGATCCGTATCGACGGCGATCGAATCCAAGCCGCCTGCCAAGCGTGGCATGGATGATGCTTTGCGTCGTAGCATCTTTGGTTCATCTGATGAATCAGATGAACCATCGCCGAAGCGAAGGCGCTCGAGGTCGCGAGACTCGGGCGCTAATAGTGGTGTCGGTTCTCCAATGGACACCACTTCACAGCGAGGTGCCAGTACTTCTGTCGGCACGTCGCAGGAAGAGCGGGACCGCAATGTGTTGCGTCTCGCTCCAGAAAAGAAGGCATGGATGCCTCCTAAGTCAGTGATGGATCACTTGTCGGCGACGACGAGTGATCGTTATCGAACACGATTGTTCGATTCGTCAAGGATCCATCACCTTGACCTCAGCGCGAAAAACTATCGCGCTGAACACGAATTCTTCATCGATGCTTTCTTCAGACATCGATGGTACAGTGGGAACCACAAGCGTGATGGTCCCTCACTACTTCAAGCGTGGAACGCCTACATCCATATCCTCGAGGATGTAGGTCGTGACGCTTGGAACGACAAACTTATCAAAGCTCGTGATAAGTTTGAAAAGCGAACCCCGACAGGTGCACGCTACAAGCTGCATCGTCTGTCAAGGGAGAAAGGATTACCCTGCCTCTCTTGGGGAGACCCGTGCCCATGTTGTGTGAACAACTCTGCGCGAGCACCTAAGGAGGCTTACCTCCTTACCAGCCCGTGGTGGCGCGTACGTGTCTCTACTGATATGTACGAAGGGATTGACAACCTGAAATCCCTTTACGACCGTGCCGGGAAGACTTTCTCCGGCGGTCCTTCTGCGGCACAGGATGTGCCGCGTCGTACTGCTCAACCAGACCCAGTACGTCAACCATCAGCTGGGAGCGGGGCTCCCAAGAATCCCAGGACGGGGGATAGCCGCGCCACCGGACGAGATAACTCGTCCGACGTCCGTTCACGTCGCGGTGGTTCAACAGCTGCTTAACTAGATAGCGCTGGCCACCGCGAGAGTCCTAAAATGGAGGTGGAGGAGGAGGAAAGACGCTCTCCACATAATCGTGGGGAAGCGTGTGTTCCCGAGGGCTTCTTTGACCGCGTAACGCAAGGGTTACGCAACGATCTCGAGCATGAGCGGAATAGGCGTCTCCAAATGGCGGACACTGTCTTGAAGCATCGAGCTGAGTTTTTTTTTGCTCAGCCTGAGAACGAGAGAGCTCTGACATCTCTTCGTGACGAGCTAAGGGTAGCTCGTGGGATTGTTGATCGGTCTCGGGCTGATATAACTGCTCTTCAGACCCTTGTCGATTCCCACCATCGGGAGCACAAGGCTCTCTGCGAGATGCTTGAGCGCAAGGGCGTTCTTCATCGGAAGAAGCAGCGTACTGATGGTACGGCTTAAGCCGACCAACGTAAAACGTGGGATGCGTTCGCATCTTACGTGGCAACTCGATCGTGTATGCATTGCCTAGGCGGTGCAATACACGAAATGGGCCAATGTACTTGGGTAGTAGTTTACTGCTACCCAAGTTAGTCACTACATGCTTTGGTAGATTAACCGTAGACAGTAGGACTAAGTCACCTTTGTTAAATAAAAGAGTGTTTGCCTTTCCATTCTTGTCAGCGTTTTGCTTTTGCTTATCCACCGGTTCGGCGATGGAGTCTTGCACAAAACGGACTACCGTTTCACGAGCCAGTATGAACTCATCTGATGACTCGTTAGCTTCAGTGTGCTGTGAGCACACTGCAGCAACATCAACCTTTTCTTCAGTGAGGGCTTCCGCACTCTCACTGGGATCATCTTCTTCAGTGAGGGCTTCCGCACTCTCACTGGCATCATCTTCTTCGATATCGATGTTATCGATATCGGCATCAAACGCAATGACTTCTTCGTCAGAGCTTGAACCAAATCGGTTTTTGCTCGCGCGAGTCCCCCCCCCTTAAACCAGAGTTACACTCTAGTAAGGTGGGTACACGCGGATGGCGTAAGCCATTCACGTAAAACGGTGTATGTGTCGTGGACGCATGCACCGAGTTGTTGATGGCAAACTCTACCATAGGCAAAAACTCACTCCAACTCTTAAAGGAGTGTACGTATCCTCGAAGTATCTCTTTAAGGACACGATTGGCACGTTCCGTCTGACCATCTGACTCTGGATGATCAGATGTTGATCTTCAAGCGCGTTCCGAGTGATTTGAACACGGAACGCCAGAAATCAGCAGTGAATCGTGGATCTCTGTCTGACACGAGTTCACGGGGCAACCCATGAAGTCGGAAGATGGTGTCAATAAAGACACAAGCACAGCCACTTGCTTTGATTGTCTCTGGTACAGCCACAAGGTGTACCATTTTGCTGAGTCTGTCAACAAATACGAGAATACCCGTATTCCCGCGTGCGTCTTCGGGTAACCCGAAGACGAAATCCATTGAGATGGATTCTCAGCACTCAGCCGGAACCGGTAGAGGCTGGAAAGGTGCACGCAGTGAAGGACTTGACTTCACTCGCTGACAGACTTCGCATGCGCGAACATACTTTCGCACAAACTGATACTGGCGGGGCCAGTAAAAGTCTCGACTCACCGTGAGATATGTTTTCTCTCGGCCACGATGTCCTCCTATATGAGCATCGTGATACTCGAACATGATTCGCAAACGCAGATCAGTATCATCTGGAATGACAACACGTGGTGTGTCACCAGAAACGGCTGCATAATACAGTAAACCCGTTTCGATTAGTGAATCGGTCTGGTGCAGATCATAACGCAGACGACAGTCGTTTCACCGATTCTCGAGATGGCTGTGAG